CTTGTTTCTCATTTCCGTATGTGTCTTTAGTCGTCATCATCAGGACAAACAAATGTAATAATTACTATATGCTTGGAACTGTTGATCTGAAAGCTTTACTTCTATCAACTAATTTAACCCTCATAAGAATTATTATTACCATTTTACAGATGACAAAATTGAGGCAAAGATGGGTTAAACTGTTCAAGGTCGTTCAGCTAGTAAGCAGTTCAGTTGATATTTGAATCCAGGGAATCTGGCTCTGTGGTCTAGGCTTTTGACCACTATTCCATAATACTTCTGCTGTTGGGGCTGCCCTACCCATCTCGTTCTTCAAAACCCAGATCAGAATTTACTGTTATAATCATCCGTGTGTCCTCCCATGGAGTTACTCATCCGATCCTCTATATACTCTGTAATTTGTACTTTTTTCTTTTGCTGAACCTAAACAATAACAGATATTGGGAAAGCAGGTTGACTTCTGGCTCATTTTGTTGGTGGCTGAGAGGAATAGAATATGATCAGATCAGTTTTGGACATATTAAGTTCAAGGTGACAGTCGAATATGCAAGTATAAAAGACCAACAGAAAGCTGGAATTGCAGCACCAACTGAGCAAAAAGGCTGGTGCTGCACTTTAAATCTAGAAGGAGAGAAAAAAAGTAACAAGCTCTAAAGACAAAGAGTCTAAAATATAAGAAAAGACGTAGAATAGTTTAGTTTTATGGAAGGCAAAGGAAGATACAATTTAATGAAGCAGGTGATGATGACTGTCATTGTCAAATTCCAAAAATCTGAATGAAGATCATTGAATTTGGCTATTTGTAGACTGGTGGGGGTAGGATCCAGATTTGAGAACGTGAAAGAGAAAGAGAAGGTGCTTTGGAAGAATAAGATTCACCATTGGTTTGGTATTTGAATCTGTTAGAGTCGCAATTTATTTCAAACAGCTTGGAGAAAAAAGACAACACCTGTATTTTAAGCTTTCCAACAAAATACCTGCACATACTGTGGCAAGTTTAACACAGGGTAGTAAATTCATTAATAGCTTAGTGAGCAAATTAAATTTTCTATGACGCTGTATTTTTTCATGAAGAATTTGCACTTAAAATATAATTTCCTATAAAAGAAACTTTTAGTTTAAGAACTTTCTGGTCTCCATATCCTCATAAATAAAGGCCACACTCCTGGGAAGCAAACAAAAATGCTCCAGTTAACAAGGGAAAAACTCTATTAACATCTTGTCCCTCTAAGTAAACATTAAATAGAGGAGATGTAATTCATGACAACCAAACACAGCATGTACAGCTTTGCTTCACATAGATAGTGTTCTTTGTTCCTATATCTACCTTTTGTAAGTATTTTCCAGTCTTTTCCTCATAATGTTATTGAGAAGGATAAGAGCCAGCATAGCATTTTGAAAACTCAATGTGCTTATGTCAACAAGATTATTCACAGCCAAGTTTTCTCATGAATATCACCTGAGACCTATATTTCATTTGATTTTAACCAAGAGTGCAGGGGGTGAGTATAGAACCCTGATTTTAGAAGGGAATTTTTTAAAGAAATGAGATAATGTGACAGTGGATAAAGATGCATCAGAGTTGAGCAAAGTTATTTTTCAAGATTAGAAAAACCAATTTTTTTATTTTGTATTTTTATTTTTGGTGAGGAAGATTCTCCCTGAGCTAACATCTGTGCCAATCTTCCTCTATTGTGCATGTGGGACGCCACCAGAGCATGGCTTGATGAGTGGTGTGTAGGTCCACTCCCAGGATCTGAATCTGTGAACACCTGGCTGCTGAAGCAGAGTGCACAAACTTAACCACTATACCACGAGGCCAGCCCCAGGAAGACCAATATTGAAAGTGCAAAGCCAGACAGAAAGGATCAATCAAGAAGGAGAGAATAAAGATAAAAGAGAAAGGTATCAGAATGTATAGAAGTGAAGGGGGAAAATGGCCTCTGGAAAAATATGAAGTAAGGAAGTGAGGGAGGGAGAGAGGAGAAAAGAGAAAGGAAGGAGGGGTGGGGGAAAGGTAAGGAAAGAAAGCAAAGAGAGAGGAAAGGGAGAGAAGCGGACAGAGGTGAGGGAAAGGGGAGGGGAGGGGAGAGGAGAAGAAGGGGTAGAGAGGGGAGTGGAAAGAGAAGGGGAGGAGAGAGAGGGGAAGGGAGGGAAAAGGGAGAGATGGGTAGAGGAGGAAAAGTGGTGGAGAGGGGAGGGGAAGGGACAGGAGGAGAAGGGGTGAAGAGGGGAGTGGAGAGAGTAGAAGAGGGGAGAGAAGAGAAGGAAGACAGATATCTTAATTAGAGAAGAAAGAAGTTGAGGAAGTTCATGACAATGTCTTCATGTTTCTTGGTGAGGGAAGAGGCAGAGTTATCTGCAAATAGGAGTGTTCTGAGGGGATCATAAGGGATTTGAGCAACGTTGAGCGCTCAGTTGACATTGCACAGTATCCACTCATGATGTTACAAATTTCTTGGTGATGCAACTTCCCCACTAATACTTGGTTGCCTGGAATATTTTCCTCCTCTAGAGCTTTTGCTGTCACACTAATTGAATCAATGTTAATTGACAACCTCATAGAATATTTCCATGTGCCAGGAAGAACAGTACTATCAGCTGCACCTGAGTGAAACAATACTATTTTTTAATCACAAATATTTTGAGAAATTCATAGTGATTCAGAAACATTTATTTTCTCACTTAGTAATATGAAATTCCAGTGCACACATGATAGAATATGAAATTACAGGACATATTTGCTATCTTTGATATAGTTTGTTTAGTTCTAATCTGAACTTTCTGGGACACACATACAAACATGAATTTAGGACATCAAGTAGTGGTTGTCTATCCAGTGATTCCTAGACTCTTGATTTCCTGTACCAGTAAAATACAAATGGGAGAACCAACATGAGGTTGCCAATTTTTAATTTGACCAAATATTAAAACAAATAACCCACTATCAGTTATTCTCACCATAATTTCTAAAAAAGAATTTTAACATAAAAATTGTTTTAGTCTTTAAGAAATAATCTAAACGACACACTTTTGCAATAAAATTCTTTAAATTGAGTATGTTTGGCTTTATAAATATTTGTGAAGTTATTCTTAATTTCCTGGCTTAACTGTAGGCATACGAAAACCTTGTCATGGGAGTGCTAGTCTGTGGAACTCTGCTTGGGGTTATCGATTTACACCCACAATGTCTGGGTCCCAGCTCAGACAGCAAATAAGCCACCTTCTATTATGATATGGACAGAATCACCAGAGTTTCGATCACAAGGCTCCAATTTGGATCTGTTTAGCTTCGAATACTGGGGTCTTAAACCTCTATGCCACAGATCTCTTCTAAAATATTATTTTAGCAACCTAAGGGTTATCATGCAGGGCAAAGAATGTAATCATGTAAGTGACTCTTCAGAAAGATGACTTCCAGGAAACAAGAATAGTATTTAAAATACAGTATACTTTCAAGTAATTACAGATTGTATATCTAATTTCGAGAGTAGAAAACATAAATTCTAGGACACCAAAACAGATGACAGAGTGAATACACATACATACACACTTTAATAACATAACAGCAGCAAAAAATCCTTCCTACCCTAAAGACACACACATATCTGTATCACCATCTATCTATATGTCCATGTTCACATACACACATATACACATATAATTCATTTCCCTGAAAAGATACTCGTGATTACTGATGTAGTTGTGGAATATTAAAAATCTGTAGAAATTCTCCTATAATCTTTACTTATGTTAGTTGGAAATCGAAAATTCTTTTCAGCCACATGCTGTTTTAGGGCAATGATGTTATGAAGAGACAGGTTAGTAATTCTAGAAGGAGAGAAGAAGCACTGTGCATGACTGCTCCTTTTCCCCGTCAAAGTGTGTTCCCTTTCTGGCTTCAGGACTGAGATTGTGTTACCCTGATAACAAACGAGGGCTTCTCCTTCCTTTGAAATTTAGGTAAGTTTCTTTCAACTGTCAAGTTCACTGTCTGGACCACTCCAGTAACATTTCCCTGATCTCTGTGAATTCTACGCTTGACTTCATGGTAATTTCCTTAGTTCCTGTTTCTCTATCAGCCAAAGCCAGTTAGATTAAGCCTCCATGCTGACCCAAGACAAATCTTAGCCTCTTGCCCACTTTCACAAGCTATTTAATCTCTGTATCATCCAAGCAGGAGACTGATGGCATGCTGAAATGAGGCAACAGAGAATGTTTTCATGACGGGGTGTCAGGAAGGTCAGGGGAAAGCTGCGAAGAATAAGCAAGCACTCCAAGTGCAGCCACAGATCTAATGGAAGCAAGAGGGGGAGTGATGCTCTCTGAGAAAGCAGCTCTTCTTCCATGGTAGGAGGGGGTGGTCTGATGGGAAGTCTGACTTTCCCTTGAATGCAGCCACTGCCAACCCGGAGCAAGCCAGCAAAGAAGGAACTGGGGAATAAATACCCAATTTCACTCTTCTTCCCCTGGTGCTTTCCTGCTGGGAATTTTCATTGGCCAAACCAATTGGGAGCGTGAGGGAAAGAGAGCCCATTGATGCAATGCATAAAATCACCCTCACACAAAACAGGGTGGAGAAGCATGGGGAGTGGTTCCAGAGGAGCAAACAAAATATCCTACTCACACAAGCAACAGTTAATTCTTTTAGTACAGATTTAAGGGCTTCTTTTAGTACCTTAAGTGGCCATCTACGATTGCTCTGGTTGCCATACTTCTTTTTGGTCTGGAACCACCAGCTGGTGCTCTGGCATTAGTTCCTTCTCCTAACAGAGATCATACCCTACTGCTTGTAGCCTCTGGGAGGTCATTCTCCTCAGTCCCATTTCTACCCCAGGTTTTCTTGCTGTCAACCCACGTGGACAGACCCTTTGTGTGTGTGTGTGTGTGCATGTGTGTGTATGTGTGTGTGTTTAGCTCCCCTTCTCCCGCAACTGGTAGAATAAAAAATCTTCATCTTGTTCTAAAACTCTGTTAACAAAAAGTAACTGGGCAAACAATAAAATAAAAAATGTAATCTTTATTAGTTTTGCACATTTTTAATGTTGGTTAGCATCATTTAGGGTAATAGTAGCATTTTCCAGCATGCAGTCCACGAATACAGTTTATCTAAGTAGTTTTAAGAAAAAGGGGAGCCTATGGTTTGCTTCTGTAAGAAACAAAAAATGTCCTGATGTAATTGACTATGTAAGTTCACTACTCTCTGTTCTTGTGGAAAAAAAAATTGTGAAATCCACATCATACTTAGATCAATCTACAGCAGCATGACTCCAAAGAAATGAAAACATAAATAGAAATTAGGAAAAAAAGGACGAAAATGAAAAATAAGCACTACCTTCAATCAGCGCAGACACTACTAAAAATGTAAATAAAATTTTATACCCTTTTCCAATTGCAAAACATAATTTGGATGTGAGTTGTCAACCAATTTTGCCCCTTAAAATTATGAAATAATCTAAAATTAGCAAATGTAATAAAAAAGCAGAAATCTACAACTACCCCGTCTTGTTTTCATTTCTTATTTAGTAAATTTCTTCCATGAAAAAGTGCTATGGACAGAAAGTAAGAAAAGTGATTGTGATATCAACCTGAAGATAATTTCCTCTTCATATTTATGTACATAATGCTGAAAAATAAAATAAAATGACTTTTTACAGTATTTATATTTGCTTATAAAATTCTAAACACATTTTTAACAGGTTAAGCAGTATCTTTTTTTTTTTTAACGTGTCTGTACAGTCTGGCTATACACCATATGTTATCCACTTAAAATTTAAAAATAACCGAAAAGCTGTTAAAGTGCTGCAAACTATTGCTTAATGACTTAAATAAATGAGATCTGTTGAACAATTTCCTTGACTTTACCACTGACATATGGTTTCTCATAAATGAGATTCTGAGCGATGGGAGAAACCAGATACAGCAGCATGGTCATATAAACATGCATTGATAGGATCCAAACTATCTATAATGGTACAGAATACATTATATTACCTGTGTAAAGCTTGCACTCTACATTTCTCGTGGAACATATTTGATGCAATAAATACTGTGCTTGGGTCATTATTTGTTTGCTCAAACGTGCACCACAGGGTAAAATGACTATTTACATAATAAATAGCATTTTATTAACATGTACAGTGTCAACCTTGCTGAGCTGAAGATGGCTAAACAAAGTGCAGGATTAAGCAGAAATTTATAAAGGGTTCTTTTGGTCAATTCAGTCTTTGGGGGGAACCAGTGCTCATTATTCAATTTTTCTTTTTAACTACAATAAACAGAAACATAACATTTATGACTCCAGACATTTGAATGAAATTTGCAGCTGCTAAGATTTAATGACCTACCCCCCAAAAATGATCTACTTGGTCTAGGGGCTGGATTTGACAAAACAAGATCAGCAAAGCACCTCCAATTATCACGTAATTACCCCTCCCAGAAACACGAATGGAATTTAAGAACTCATTGTTTTCCTTGTGACTTTTTTTCATGCATGATCTCTAAGTGTAGCATGCCCTCATGCAAACCACGTCTTTGTGTAGATGGGAGGGCCATGCAATTTGCCATAACCCCCAGTAGCATACGTGTGAAAGAGGCCCTTTAGTCTATTTCCCAACAGAAACCCCATTTACAAAAATAGTCACATATAATAAACAATATATGGATAAAAAAAAGATGAATCCACTAACAGATTTTGTAAAAATGTGACAAATGTGGCAGTTGAAATGCAAAGAGTGGATACAATTACTAGACTAAAGTGTTTCATGTTAACCCCCAGATTATAGGTTTGCACCCCTTTGAACTGGTCCCTACAGTCTGAGTAGCCATTTCGTCTCGTCTTCAGCAGTGTCAGCTGGTAGTGAGAACAGTAACCTCCTGTCTAGGTCATCTCCCCTTTACACAGAGTCACAGTTTTCCGACAAGGGGTCACTGTCTTATTGTAGGCACTGACCTTAAGTAGTTTTGTGTAAAAACAGTCAGTTTGGCATTGACCTCCTAGAGGAGTTCTGTTGACAAAAACACATCACCTTCACAGGCTGTAAACAATTTGTTGCCCAAATATTCTTATTTATTTCCCTTTGGCTTTTTCATCTTTGCCTTCTTGCTCATGTTTTTCCACGATTGGCTTTGTTACCCGATCATAGGAGGGTGGACAAGCTGCTGTGGACATGGTCAGATCAGTTTTTTCTGTAATAGAGTTTTCATTTATTCTGTCAATTATCATGTCTTCTTTTACAAGAAGATTAGCCCCACCTTTGATTTTATTTTTATTATATGTAAATGAAGCTTGTTTTACAGTTCGCTTTAAAAGGTGGCGCCTGTAAGCACGTTGAATAATAACAGCAGACACCTCCTCTTGTTTTCGTTTCAAAGTTGTAGTTATTGGCTGATAGGAGACCTTTGATGGATTGGAAGCCATGAATCGCTCTTCCATCTGTATTCGAAGAGCATCCATCTCTCCACTCTCTCCCAGAACCCGCTTCGTAAAAGCAAATAAGATGTCAAGACAGTGGATTCGGTCACCACTTACCATGGGCAAATCCATGGCAATGAGCTGAAGTTTGTTCGGTTGTGGCAGATTGAGGGGGGGTTCAAGAGCAGCTGCAAACTGAGATAGTTTTTCAAATTCCATGAACTGGGTCGCGTCAGGATCAAACTTCTCCCAGACCTCGTAGAACATCTCAAAGTCATCCTCACTCAGGGGCTCTGCACTTTCCTCAGTAGCAACACTGAAGTTCTCCAGGATGACGGCGATGTACATGTTCACCACAACCAGAAATGATATGATGATGTAACTGACGAAAAAGAAAATCCCAACAGATGGGTTCCCACAGTCTCCCTTAACTGAGCTTCCAGGATTAACTTTATTAGGGTCACAATCGGGTGGTTTACTGTTGAGAATAGGTGCTAGCAATCCATCCCAGCCAGCAGAGGTGGTAATTTGGAACAGGCAGATCATGCTGTTGCCAAAGGTCTCAAAGTTGAACATGTCATCAATTCCAACTTCCCTCTTAACATAGGCAAAGTTGGACATTCCAAAGATGGCGTAGATGAACATGACCAGGAAGAGCAGGAGGCCGATGTTAAACAACGCAGGGAGGGACATCATCAGAGCAAAGAGCAGCGTGCGGATCCCCTTGGCCCCTTTGATCAGACGTAGGATTCGGCCAATCCTGGCAAGACGGATCACTCGGAACAGGGTCGGGGACACAAAATATTTTTCTATCAGCTCAGCCAGAAACATGCCTATGGATAAAAATTGAGAGTACCAACCAGTGAAGAAGTGATCCATTAAAATAATACTTACATTTCTGTTAAGGCGTCAAGGTAAAGTTCAGAGTACTGAAATTCAGTTATGTAATCTTAAATTTGACATACATATATATAGTTGTGTATAATAGATGTTATCAATATACCTTAATTTTGACATTCAGAATTAAATTCAACTCGATATTTGATATTTGAGGGGGACTAAATTGTGTCCCCCTCAAATTCATATGCTAAAGCTCTAACTTCCCCATGTGAGGGTATTTGGAGATAGGGCTTTTGGGAGATAACTAGGTTTAGATGAGGTCATGAGGATGGAGCCCTCATGATAGGAATAATGTACTAAAGAGCTTGCTCTCTCTTTCTTCCCCTGCCATGTGAGCACATAGTGAGAAGGCAGCAGTCTACCAGCCAGGAAGAGAGCTCTCATCAGAATCCCACCCTGCTGGCACCTTGCTCTTGGACTTCCAGCCTCAGAACTGGGAGAAAATATATTTTCTGTTGTTTAAGCCGCTCAGTCTGCAGTAATTTGTTATGGCAGTCTGAGCTGACTAAGGCAATATTCTATGCAATAAGGATTTTACAGTACTTTTTGTCTCTGAGGGATGTCTATAGTCTATTTTTAGCTTACATAAAATCCCAAGACTGAGTCTAAAAAAATAGTTAAGAATGCTCAAGTCTGTCTGAACACCAATGGCCAACAGTATAAGTACGTGTTTATAAGAATAGAATTATTTTTTGTGAAATTGCCAAGTCATATATGTTGTATTCAGTTCTTACTCATCTAAAACTCTCCGCAGTTTTTAATGCTATTTTCATCTCTCCACGAACTTGACTCTTCCCTAAGCTTCCACTATAATATTCTTATACATTTGCATATGCTGTGGTGCATTTCTAAAAGGATCTAAGCTGATGCTCTTTCTGGTCTCCTGTGTCTGACATTGGTCTCTCAGCCTTCTTCTTTTAAGCTTCTTTCTCCATTTACCTTTTAAATAATGAAATAATGATTGAACTGAAGCAGCTCAAGTAACCAAGAGCCTTTGACTTACACTGCCTCATTCTGTGAAGAATAAGTAAGACTAAGTAAGTGTGTGTGTGTGTGTGTTTGTTTGTGTGTGTGTATGAGACAGAGGGAGAGAGAGAATGATAGAGAGAAAGAATAGAGGTGAATGCAACCTTAGTACCCTATCCACTAATGATGACACCACAGCTTAGTGTGGGAATCAAAGGATACATACAACATATGAGTTGGATATAAGACCAGTTTCTTCAGTGGGGGAATGGCATGACAATCTGCCCAACAAAGTTCCCCATATTAGATGGCAAAATATTGGCTGAGCCATATCATCCAGTTTAGGAAACCATGAATATTTCAGGTCCACAGACAGACTTCACTTCACTGGAGCGAGAGTTGTATGAGATGAGCTATTGCTCATGTGACCTGTTGTACGTTCCAAACTTTGAAGTGTATGACTGATGAAACGGTGTCCCATGCTGCCTCATTTCCCTTGTCCATCATTACTATAAATCCATATCAAGGTAATTCAGAAAATCTCTACCTGATATGCTTAAAGAACTTACCATCTACATTTGCTAACATTTTGTTCTTATCTTTATTCTCTGCTTTTCCTTATTTTACCACCAGCTTCTACTCCAATCTACATGCTGGTGACTCCACATCTATATCTCTGTTGCAAAATCTCTTCAGCCCAAATTTCTAGTCTTCTTCTCAACAGAGACATCTAGATATTGTGTAAGCTATTCAATCTCAACATGTCAAAAAGATTTTTTCTTAATTAATAGCATATTTCTAGTTCAAATGAATGAGACTCTACTATATTGACAAATGATACACCTAGTCTAAAATGGATAGAATAGGATACAATACTGTGTATATAACAGGCACCTCATTTGGTAAGAAAAACAAACACACCTGAATGAAATACATCAAAATTTTCTCAGTGGTTATCTCTGAGTGGTGGGATGACCTCTAGTTTAAACTTGATTGTTCCAACTTTTACTTTTATTGGGCTTAACTTAAGAGAATTGAAATACTTCTTACCTACAATGGAGAGAATGACAACCACAAAATCAAAAATATTCCAGCCTATGGTAAAATAATAATGGCGGAGAGAGATGAGCTTCAGTACACACTCTCCAGTGAACAGCACAATGAACACCAGGTTGATGCGTGACAAAATGTTAGTCACATATTCACTCTGGTCATCTGTTTCTACCATCATTGTGACCATGTTAAGACAGATGAGAATCATGATGCTTATGTCAAAAACTTGTCTGGTTACAAAGTCAAAGACCATTCCTTGAAATTTGTTCTGTAGAGAAACAGAAATGCTTTTAGCAACAGAGGAGTTTTCCTGTACACATTAACATCTACATAAGTACTTTCTGCATTAATTGACTCTCTAGTATTGTACGTAGTAAGCACTGGTCCTGAATTTTGTGAAAAATGGTTTACAGCACGCTATATTTTTAAATTTAGTTATCTAATTGCTATCTACCAAAGTGCATTCCAGAGAATAACAATCCCTTGTCAAAAGGGGATTTCTGATAAGAAACGCTGCATGCTATACACTTATCTCAGAGGCACAACATGCATATTAACATATTAAGATTATGAGAAGTTCAGGAACCTGCTTAAGTTTGTTTTACCAGAATTTCCCACGATCAGTTGGACCATGCAGCCGTTTCAAAATACAGTATGTATTAATAATACATTTGTGTTATTCTCAAAGAATTGTTAAGGGAACCTGGGGTTTCCAGGACACACCTACAACATTATGCATTTAAAGCCCAGGTATGGCAGTATGGATGCTCTCCCATCAGTCTTTGCTGACATCCGTCAGACACAGAATGCTGAGCCTACACAGGGATAATTAGACCAGAATGATATTCGTTATGCTTTGATGTCAAAAATTCACATCTCTTGTCACTGATGTGTGGTTCTGCTCCCCAGTTCTTTCACTGTCAGTCACTGCAGGCAATTATCTGGCTCATTTCTCTAGGCCACTGAGGAATTCTAAGGATATCTTCTATCTTACTATTTTCCTACACAGTTGACTCATTTCTATTTTTAGTGCTAAGGTTTAAGAAAGGAAAGTACATATTACTCATCATTTTTAAGAAGACAGTTGTTGGCTAGCACAATATGAATGTTCACTAGTATTCTGCTCCCCAAGGCACCCCGGAATTATTTTAACATCATAAATCGTCATCATAACAATCAATACAGTGTGAGATAGGGCTTATCCATTTCACAGCAGTTGTTTGGTTAGTTCATCATGGAAACATGAGAATTGTTATTTGTCATCATGAATTTTATTTATGGACTCTGACTTCTATAGACGTTAGTAATTTCTAAGTTTATAGCCATATATATGAACAGTAAATACTAGAATTTCTTCCTCCTCCGGAACACTCAGTACCTCTAATGAAAAATAAAATGGAAGTAAGGTGTTATTTCACTCAGAACTTCATCCATTTGTTAACTGAGCGGGAAAACTGCATTTTTTTTGAGGAAGATTAGCTCTGAGCTTACTACTGCAGTCCTCCTCTTTTTGCTGAGGAAGCCTGGCCCTAGCTAACATCCGTGCCCATCTTCCTCTAGTTTATATGTGGGACGCCTACCACAGCATGGTGTGCCAAGTGGTGCCATGTCCGCACCCGGGATCCCAGCCGGCAAACTCTGGGCGGTCGAGAAGCGGAACGGGCGACCTTAACCGCTGCGCCACCCGGCCGGCCCCTGAAAACTGCATGTATTTTAACCCCTTCCAAAGGTTTACTCCTTTCGCTATCACTGCTCAGTAACAATTCTTGAGTTATCTGATCAGTTTTTTCTTGTGCTCGTCACATTGTGTATGTGTCCTTTGCATTTAGATTGGATTCTGGCTGTGTGGTTTTAAATCCCTTTAAGATAGGGGTGCATTTTCTATTTCTTCTTTTTCTTTTTGGTCTCTCTCTTCTTACAAAATTTTTACCTTTACCATAAAAGATATGAATTAATGATGCTCTAAAAGTGGAAGAGATCTTTGCTGCTGGAAATGTTAGCTGCTATCTCTTCTGTGAGAAAACCCATGCAAGTTTTTGTTTTTGTATATTTTTTCCCATATCATTTGGTATTTCTTACTCCAGGTCGAGGTATAGGCTTTTGTGGCTTTTTTGATCCTAATTTTTTCATTGCATTATAGTATTTCTTCTGTTCTTCTGTCATAAAGATGTCTTGACCTCCAAAGTATAGAAAAGAAATATCAAAACTGGTTAAAACTGTGTCCCTTTGCACATAATTTTTCAACCAATGTTAAAATAGGAAAGTGACAGTTAAAAAAGGAAATGCAAAATTCCTCCAATTAACATAATTGTGCCTGGGATTTTAAATTTGAAAAATTAAAAGGACTTTTTAAGTAATATAACCTTATTTAATTTTCACAGTCTTCCAAAGTTGACTTTATTATTTTCGTTATTATTTTATGGAGGAAAAAAACCCCAGAAATTGAGAGGTTAAATATTTTTACCCAAGATCATAAACTCAGTGAGTGGTAAAATTTGGTTTGCTGAGGCCCTAAATACTTGGTTCCCTACACTATACATACTGCCTTACTGAAGTTAAAGACAATGTTTTCTTATTCAAATATAGCAAACAGTTAGAGTATGTATATTGCAAGATGGTTTAGAGTTACTCATAAAAAGCCACTTTCACTCTGCCAAGAACTGGAGCAAAAGGATAGAAAGAAAGCTGGGTGAGTTGGTAGAAGTGTTACAGGATAAATCAGAAATTGTAAGTATGGCAGGTATGTGACAGGCCAGTAGGTACAGAAGATTGGAACTCAGGCTGATAAGGGGAGAGAAAGAGCCTGAGATTGATTATACAATAACGTTAGTAACAATAAAGGGAGATGTAGCAGGAATGTTCTAAGCTGGAAGAGTCTCATACAATGAAATCACTTGCTACATATTAACAAAACATGCTGAGTAAATGAGATGAGGGAGCAGTACACAAAGGAAGAAATACAAATGGCAAAAAAGCACTGGAAAGCATGTTGAAACCTACTAGACATGAAAATTAAATACAATTTTAGTTTATCAAATGTCAAGTATGTGTTAAGAAACAGAGCCTGGTGGATGCCAGTGAAGCAGCAGTGACCTGCGGACGTCTCTACACTGTTATCAGAAGTATGAGTGGATGTATTATTTTGGGGAAGCAAAATACTTTAACCTAGGAATTTACTTAAGAAAATAATTAAAGACTTTTTTTTTGGCATGAAGACTTTTGACATGGTACTATTTAAATCATTAGTGATTAGAAACAACATAAATCATCAATTTGTTGGGAAATGGTTAAGTAAATTATGACATGTACACATGAAGACTTAAAATGGGAAAATACTTAAGTCAAAAAGAGAATATGTAATTATGGATAAAATAGCTTCAATAACAGGAATATGTGTAGAAAAAGTTTGACTAGAAAAACAGAATGTGAATAGTGGTTCCTCTCAAGTAATGATATTTCTTTACTTTCTATATTTTCTATAATGTGCATATATAATTGGGATGATGAAATGGGCTTTATAAATGATAATTAATAAAATAAAAGGCTGTCCAATTCAAGACTAGAAATGGTAGTTTATAATTAAATATTAGGGAGAAAGAAGCGGGAATATATAAAAGGAACCAGTGAAGGGGAAAAAAGTGAAGAAAGCCTAGAAGAAGCTTACATCGCATGCCTAATTTATTGCAAAGATTCTAAAAGTTTTAACTGGAAGATATGTTTTCAGGAGAAGAATTGTACGGATAAAACAATAAGTTGACTTTGGGAAAGGAGCATATGCCTGGATTCTTTCTTTTCTAATTATTCTCTTTCAAAAGACATAAAATGTGGTCCCTGATTTAAAAAGAAAAAAAAAAAGAAGAGTCTATGTACAGGAATATGGAACACAGTGATTCTTGGCTTTCTATGCCCTGGAAGAGATGGGCAGTGGAAGGCAGAAGGGGAGGATGCAAAAATCGATTTTAATGTATACTCCCATTTGGTTTCTGAATTAAAGTAGTCATTTGGTGGAGAAAACACTTTAAATAATTTTATCATCTTAGTAGGAGGAAAAATATTAGAAATACTTATCTTTTTCTTTTGCTGGTTGAAATTATCTATGATGACACCAATAAACAGGTTCAAGGTGAAGAAGGACCCAAAGATGATGAAAATAACAAAGTAAAGATACATGTATAGACTTTCCTCATACTTAGGCTGGAGTTCCACCTACCAAAGGAGAATATTTTGTAAAACATCACAATACATTTTGACGCTGGAAGTCACTGGTGCTTTTTCATGAGAATAGAAAAGAAAATTCTTAGTAATATTGAAGCACTTTTTTTTTTCAAAAAGTATTTTGAAAATACTTTTCTTTTTTCTCTGAATCAGCTACCTCTAAAAAACTTCTCTGAAATTAGCCTTTAGGGTAATTTTTCATGTGAAAAATGGGGTGTTTTCATGTGAAAAATATATTTTTATGACTTCAGAATTTATTTTTTGTAATTGTAAATACACCTAATATCTTGCTATTTAGACAGCTCTGTGCCAAATTTGGCAATGTTTTAAGACGCAGAATTCTAATAATTTAAAAACTATTAGTGAAAAATTTATACTTCACCAAATAAGTATAAACTATGTTTAGAAAGAATCATTTTTGTCTGCATGAATTTATTTAGCAAACAAGAATTATTCATTTAGATGTTTGGCATCAGACCTTTAACATTACAACATTCATTGAATTTTTCAGATTGAGTAGACATAATTAGACACTCCATCGTATAAATCCTCAATTGATAATTTAGTCACTAGATTGTACTTATAGTAAATAAGCATTGAGCTATCACTTATCACTTAGTAAAGAGGTAAAGAAGTCACTACAGATAGTGCCCTCATAGATTCATGTCCTTTTAAAGACAATGGAGTTAAAAACTAACCAAAGGCACAGAACACAATAATAAGCAACCAAGAGAAATAACTCAACTCTGGAGGATATCAGGAAGGCACTCGACATAAAACTGAAGCCACTTATGACAAGTGCATATCAAGAAAGATAAACGCGAGCTCCATCAGGTCAGTTAAGGATCACAGGGACAGAGGCTATTCTTTATGATGATAGACTAAACAGAGGGGATTTCAGAATGGAAAGATAAAGACTGAAATTTTACAAAGTTTTGAAGAGCAGAGTTGGAAAGCTCATGGATTTTAGTTCTCATCTTGAAGCCTGAAAGAGGCTGTTGTAGGAGAAATCTAAAAAACTAGGTCTTTACTTTGGTGATAAAAAGTTAAAGGAAACTGTTGGTCACAGAAGTGATAACAGCATCAGTAAAGGCTCCAGTAAATTTATGGATGCTAAAATCATATAAAAGAATGGATTTGAAAGGGATCATTATAGACATCTAAGGCTGCCTAGACAACATCCCTAACTTTTCATACTGTCCAATATGGAGGGTAAATATACATTTCAACTACTGGTGGCAATCATATATTTCTCCACATATGCTCTAGCACACCAAAATTATTACTGCTTGTATAATTAGTAGATAAAAAGGAAACAAAATAGAAAAATATTTAATAGAAGTATATTTGTTAGTTATTAAATATATGAATGTTACTTTAGTTTGACTTACAAAATAATTTGTTTTGCTTTATATTAGTAAGATCTTTCTAACAAGCATTACTGTATCAGAATATTAATTTGTCATATTATTCCTTTTTTTAATCATTGTAGAGTCATTCCACTCAGCTTCCATGCTCTGCTGAATTAATTTTAGCATTTAATCAATCTTATAAAAGGGCTTAGAATATAAGACATACTTACATTTCTAGAATCAACTGCTGCATACATTATATCCATCCATCCTTTAAATGTAGCCTATGAAAAAGGACATGCATGTTTTACTTTAGAGTAAAAGTAATTCATACCTGATGTTTAATAAATATTGTTACTGATATGTTTTTTTTTAAAAGAGTATTTTTGAAAGACATTTCAAAACAAATCTTGCATGAATTTTGGACCAACATAATATCTCAGTAAGTCTTTTCATTTCTAGAACACATCATGAACAAAATGGTCAATTGATATATCCTCCGGCCTGATAATCAACTCACAAATACGTCTTAATCCTTCAGGGTTAATGGAATCACACAGTTTAAAGGGCTATCAAAATTTGGTAAAGTACTTTTAGAAAGTATACAAATGCCAACACATTTGGCAATGTCTGTAGGAGCAAAACAATGACAACTTAGATCTGATGATCATCTGCTGAAATCTATCTGCAAGGTGAGCAAAGTGACTGAAAGTTTAAGATTTCTCCTGATTCTAACACTCTAAGAATCATACAGGTAAACAGAAAGACAGAGTTGCCACTATTTTTAAAAGAATTTTGAAGCATAATATCCAGAAATAATCCTATACTCCACATTCTTCTCTGTAATTTTGATGAGAGTGAGTTAATATGGGTAAGAAAAGTGGAAAATAGTAAGTAGATATTTGACATTCACAGATTCAAGAAGGATCCCAAGTCTAATAACTTATAATAACTTGTTATTTGTCCTAGAACATGAATTTTGAGACCTGTGGGCCTAAGATGATTGTTCCTTAGCTAGTGGGCCAGCCTACAAAGCTTTCAGCATGTGTATCCCAACACCTCTTTGTTTTTATAACACTAACACTGGTGAAGTGGTGGATGTCATGGCAAGAAAGCAAGGAAGGGCGCAGGTGATAGCAGTGAAGAGAAAGCAACGATTCTTAGCTAGAAAGTAGAAGTTGTTTTGTACATGAAAGAGGGGAGTGTTGAATGTGTCAATGGCTGAGGTCAAGATAGAAAATGTCCGTTACATACTAGATACAGGAACAGAAAAAAGTGATTCAAGGAACCGTTTCAATGAATTACTAATAAACAGAGAGCTGTTTCTGTCTAAAGCCAAATACAAATCAGTACTTTAGGGTTTTTTAGTAGCAGAATATAATGGCTTCATGCAGGATCTTCACCCTATATTTTCAGAATCACTTAGCATTTTAAGGGATTGCTTGAAATTTTCCATTTTCCTTTTCTTAACTTTACGGAGGAAGTGATATGCTTTAGTGATATTTACAAGTGTGATTATTAGTGAAGGGTTAGGATAAATGCCTAAGGAAATATCATCTTGTGTCTACTATAATATTTAAAGAAATTGTACTTGCCAGATTTTTAAAATTTATTTTAATTGCACGAGCATTCAGAGTAAGTTGGAAATATCTACAAGAGAAATGAGAATTTCCAACAAGAAGGCAGAAAGAACTTGTAAAGAAATCGTAGTACAGACACCTCTGAAAGAGATGCAAGAGGGATTTGACCAGTGCAGGTTTGCCTGCTTCGTTAGTCTCCTGGTGGAACAATTGAAAACAGAACCCTGGTGAACCGAAATAGATTTCTGCCTTAAAGACTCTGTAGAACCACAAGGGAAGAACTTACACAGCTTTGTGGGTGTGTATGTGTGTGTGTGTGTGTGTGTACATGTGCTTAAGTTGAGTTTTTAGTGGCCAAAATAGAGCGGTATTTTTACAATGTTTTTCAGACGATCTGGACTCTGTTTTTATCCATTGCTCTGTTGCCGAGGCAGCTGTAGCCAAAAGCAGCATCAAATGCAAATGTTTAAAGGACCATCATCTTTTGCATTTGTATAAACTACTTTTCTTTTGGGTAAATCAGGCTTAGAGACCCAGGAGTGGAAAAAATGAATATTTAGATGAAATAGACTGAAGTAAATTGTACCGAAAGTTCATTTGAGGCGAGAACAGCTGCTTGTGTCTCATTTCTGTGTCCAGGTACCATCCCATATTATTTCTGTTTCACTATGAGGATCTAATCCTAAAACCTAAATGTCCTTCCTCAATCTTCAATCCAAGTCATACAGTTCAGGAGCAGTTAAGGCCCATCAATTAGTCCCAATGCAGTCATATGTGTTAAGCATGTGTTTTCGGGAGGGTGATCCATCAGTGAAACAAACTTTCCCATTGCAATAGAAAAACTAACAGCAAACTATTGATTTATCAATCAACTTGTTCATAGGCGAAGAAAGAGAAAAAGACCTTTGGAAAGAACTGGAATACCTGGTCACTATCGACCATGTCTGCACTGCTTAAATGTACTGAAGTTTCCACCCCTCTGGGCTCATACACTTGCGCTAATAAATTAAAATTAGAATAAAAGAAATAGTTATAAACATTCTTCTTCATAACTAAACTTTCTTCTTAGTGACTCAGACGTATGTCGTTACTTTGTTATTATTCCAAACAATAAACAGATTTCAGAGAAAAGAGTATTTACTTACAACTTGAAGCAAAGAGAGATACCCAAATCCTACGTTATCGAAGTTTACTTTCACATTTTTCCACCGAGCAGTCTCATTTCTTTCTATTAGTTTTAGGCAATCAGAATGATTATTCACTTCCTCGATTTCAAACCTGTCACCAGTTGTGGTGTTAATACAGTGGTAGAATTTGCCAGCAAACAAATTTACACCCATGATGCTGAAAATTAGCCAGAATATAAGACAAACCAGAAGCACATTCATGATGGATGGAATTGCTCCTAAAAGGGCATTCACAACCACCTAATACACAAATGGAAAAAAAGAAAAGTCAGAATTCTTGTTGGCTAAAAAAAGAAAAGACATTCCCCTAGTAATCTTTAGTCTTTCTAATTTTTTTTAAACCATAGAGACTATTCTAGGATACTTAAAAGCAAAGTAGAAAAAAAATTTTAAATGAAATCCATTCTTTCTTAAGCAATACATTTAGAGAAACAAATATAGACACTATAACAAAGAGACAAAAAAAGTGTAAAAATAGAGGAGGAAGTACTGAAAGGTTAAAGGAAAGCAAAATCAGAGGAATTTGCTGCCAGATGAATTCAGAATATTTGTTGTTTGTTAGAGAAAAGAGAGGTAGGAAATCCTAATACAGGAGATCAACTCATTTTAAAAAGGCAATATATTAAAGAATGAAACTAAAATATTTGGACATGAGTTGATTTGACCAATATACTTTAATAAATTAAAAATTCAGATGTATAAATATAAAAATATTATTAAATACCTAATATAATTTTGTCCTTAATTATTCATGCATTGCTATGACTAATAATAATTTTTGCATAAGAAGCAAGACAATTTAGCATTATGTATTTCGTTAGATCATCACATCGTTTATTTCAAGCTCCAGTCATGTCAGTTGTTTCATTTACTGAGTTTAATTCCATAAACTTATTTTAAATGAAACATAATAGAAATCAGTTTCTTAGGAAAATAGGAAAAGGAGGGATGCCATACATAGTTCCCAAATCTGATGTGATTACATTAAGTTTTGTGCAAATAATTATCTACTCTTTTTCTATAGAAGCATGTTTTTTCCCCTCTTATCTTTATTTCTGGATCACACATTTAAAATCTGAGTTTTCATATTCGGCAACACTGTAGGGATGGCTGTCCTTGCCCCCTCCTCCACAGTTCGCATGGAGCTGCATGTGAGTAGCTAAGAGGGAAGATAAAGACAGGCCCTAAAATGCTCCTAAGTGGCAGATGACGCCTCAGACTTGAACATTAATAGCTAAGTTATTTCTACCCATGTATTTCTATTATTCTGGACAATCTGATCCAAAGTAAACAACAACCATCAAAATATCTTCTATCTGCCATTTGATGCCAGTGTATTTTTAGAACAAAGCTTTTTGACTGCCTGTCTGAAAAAACAAACCCATGAGCCAATTCCTTATGCTCCTGAGCCCTGTTTATAGTCTGTAAAAAACTCTAGGCCTTCTAGGATTACAAAACAGTGTGATAAGTAGGCCAAAGGAAAAAATAAAACCACTAATGATAGAGGTGGGGAAATGAGCATGGGAAAATGAAGTCGATTGCATTATCCAGGCAGATTCCAATGATGTGGTCTATAGAGCCTACCAAGCTGACCCATTGCACCTTACCTCATCTCATTTGGCTGTCTGCATTAATGCAATTGATTGAATAGTCCTTATTTTATACTTCATTTTAAATGTGTGGATACACTTAGATTTCTCTTGGATTCAAAATTCAAAAGCTGAAATCAAGTTATTATTTATTTCCCTTCTTTTCTGAATATTTTGCCCACCATCCAGATGAAGAAACTATTTCTATTGCGTATACACAGAGCTCATGTTAAAATGTACATTTTTACCTACAACGTCCAATTTAGAGCATGAGCAGAACACTGGTTACCTATACCTATTTCTTGAATTTCTTTTCACATCAATCTGTAGGTCTCACACTTCTTTCTTCAAAAACTTTCTCATATCTGTCACTTCTTTTCCATTTTCCCGGTCACCACCCTAGGTCTGGCCTCTGTTAGTTCATACTTGTACTATGGTCAGAGTCTTCTAATTTTCTTCTTCTTTTGATCCATGTAAGATGAATTAATTTTCCCCAACTCTCACTTTAAAAGTGCTTAACGGCTCCCCACTGATTATCAAATATTTTCCTTAATCTTGATATTCAAATCCCTCCACAATCTACATTTCTAGTTTCAACTTCCCTAGCCACCTACCCTTTCTGCCAACTCAACTAATGTAATTACCATGTGCTAATATAATTATCAGAGAATTGAGATGCCACTTCTTTTGAAACTCCTTGTCCAATACCTTCCTTTCTGAAATAGTCTTTCTTGTCACGAACTTTAGTTCCAGCAGCATTTCTTTCATGGAGCCCAACTTCACCCCCCAGTTTAGCCTCCAAAATAAAGATGAGTGATTCCTTTTTTGAACTCAAGAATCAGAATTCCAGTACTGGACAGGACCACAGAGATAATTTAGTATTGTGTTCTCATCTGGCAAATGGGAAAACTAGGGCTAAGACAGGTTAAGTTCAGACAGTAGACTAAAATAGCGTCTAGTGCTCCTTCCACTCTACCTTACTTACTCTTCTTAGAGTTGCTCCCACTTATCTGGTACCCATCTTGCTCTGTATTAGAGTTAATTGCATTCCTGTAATCCTGACAGATGATGGGCTTTTTCTTTTTTATATTTAAGATGCAAAAATATATTTGTGGATCCTTCAAGGCCTTGAGTGCCTTGAATACAGGAAAATAACAGAGTGCTTTGAATATAGGAATACAAAAATGGTTGGTTGAATGAATGGATGAAGTAAAGATTAACTTAGCATTTATTGATCAAAGCATAATTTTTAAATGTTATTTCTGGATATGGGATGAGAATAAAGAACTGGGCACAACAAAAAAATTGGAGGGTTAGCTAATAAGTCTGACAAGTTTACTTTGAAACTGTGGACTAGTTTTGCATTAAAATTAACTCTGGAATTCATGATGCAAGCAAGCCCTCTGCCTTTTAGGACATAATTTGCAATGTTGGCGTACATTTGGCCCAGAGAAAAAGTTAATTTTTATGAAGATAAAAGAACTATATCTTAGAAAACATTCTGCATAGCATTGGGGAATTTACTATACAAAGGTCCATTCATATTTAAAACTTCATTAAGTTAGACAATGAAGGATCAGAGAAAGAATTGTCTTTTCCCAAGAGCCTCAGGCCTTTCATTGGTCCAGCCCCGAGGGAGATGTATTAACTCTTTTCAGGCTCTAGGGAACTGCAATAATTAGTTCCCGCCTGGTGGAGGCACCAGGCAGAACTGGCTTGAATAAATTGAAAAGAACACATTGAGCTTTCAGGCTGCAGAAAAGGAGATGTCTAAGAAACAAACTATCTTAATAAATTAATGCTAGAGGTTGCTTCTTCTCAACAAATGTTTTGCAAAATATCATCAAATAGAATTTCTCTATTCTAGCACAACCCAAACTTATAGAAACTCTTCCTGCCTCCGGTTCATTATCTGCATTTTGATTAAATCAACACAAAACAAAGATTGACAAGTAAATATGCAAATTAATGCTAGGAATTTTGATACAGGCAGAAATGTCCTCTTGCTTGAAAGAATTGTCTTTGAATTTCAAATCAATAGTACTCATGGATTCTAATGCTTCTCTAATCAAAACAAAAAAACTATATGGATAAAAATCAGAAGTAGGCAAAGTAGAAATCACACATTTTTAAGTATGAAGAAGAATAGAATCTTTTTTTACTCTAATGACTACATTTGTCTTGTGGGGTTTAATTAAGGTAATTATTTTTGAAAGATACGATGCATCAATTATCTAAAAAAATTCCAACTTTTTCTCTCCCTCAAAAATAAAAACTTTCCTTCTTGCATATTATTCCTAAACTTCAAGAATAAACAAAATGTAGATTTATTTTTATTTGTTTTCACTGTGATAACTTCTAAGATCCTAAAAAGTTAGTTGAGATTGACTTATTCTAGGAAGTGACCTTATGCATTAAATTCTATCTTAATACACATGACAAGATGTTTTTGTTTTATTTCTAGGTGGGTATTCTTGTCTGTATAATTCAAATAAGTGGATCCTTTTATATTAACTTTTTTCCATTTAAAACACAAATCACGAGTGCTTACTCAACTCAATATATTTTTGCCTTGTTACATTTTGAAAATAATCCCTATAAACTTTTACTTAATAAAGAATGAGAATGGTTACACAATCAATATCAGTCTTATGAAACCTGGAATATTGTATCCTATCACCTGCTCACAAATCAACTGCCCATACCTCCATGGCAATTGTCAGGACCCAGAGCAATGTAGAAAATTGGCAAGGGTTTTATGCCTCAAACAGCATCATCAATTTGACAAGTTAAAATTTTCACACGATCATTCTAAACCGGGTCCCCCACCCTCACCAATCAGATAACCTCCTAATAAATGGATAACTCAATATACAAATAACTAAACCATATTCAGTGAAACTTAATAAAGATATCAACAGTTGGAGTTCAAATCCACAGAGGGTGAATTCACAGAGGTATTTTTCTCAAAAGAAAATTTAAGACAATTCAAAATAGGGGATTAGAATATAAATACTATATTTTCCCTACTGTGGTGGAATGGTACCCTTCCCCACCCCTCCCTCATCCCACTACACAAAGTCACAGTGAAAGGATGAAAGGTAGCAAAAGGGGTAATACAGTACCCATAATAAAGGGCTGAGGGGAGGAACCAGCGCTCCACCCCATCCAAGTTGGAGCAAGATTATCCTATATAAAATAGAAATATATAGTTTGTTATTAGTTAGAAATCTGATATGACAGAACATTTGGTGTTAACTTTTGTATATGATGTTCTCTGTCTCCCTATCAACCAAGACTTGAGTTCTTTTGAAAAAGAAAGTATTTAAGATTCCCTAGATTAGGAAATTAAAAACACAAATTTAAGTACAAATTTTATTTTACTCTAGATATTCATGACATCAATTCACTCAGTTCAATTTTACAAGTTGAAAAATTTGGACTGGAAATTTGAAATACAATAAATGTTTAAAAGCTGTCAGCCAGAAATGTGCATAAAACATGCAAAACATAAAATGCAACGTGATGATAATTTGTTTATTGCTTTCTAACTTCTTATCAAGCACTGTACAACATGCTTTATTTGGTAATGTTGCGTAAAAGCACATGCTTTGAAAAAGTGATAAAACAACAAAAATAAAATGAATGCCTGATTTACGCTTTGATACAGCTATTGTGATTTTATGCTGCTACAGAAAAGAATAAAATGAGAGTTTCTGAATATACTCAAATCTCACTTTCCAATTATAATCCTCATTATTATATACTCCATCCTGACCATCATCCATGATTATATTTTTTTACAAAGTCAAAAAATCCAAACACTAGAAACACAAAAAATAGAATCAATCATCAGGTTATTTTGTCTCTACAATGCCAAATACACAATGGAATGATCAGTCATTTTAGGTTTGTGTATATGCTGTTATTACAAAGTAAGGAACCATATTCATAAATCTGATAATTTAAATGATTAGTTCATCTCCTATTGGCATGTATAAGGAGTTTTTGTTTTTAAAACTTCAAATTCCAAAAATTAACCTCTTCATATAATATAAAAAGCTTTATTGAGCAAAAATTATAGATAAGGTTATTTCCATAAAAATTAAAGGTAGACCCACAGGGCCAACATTGCCATGGAAATAAAGGCTAAATGTGAAAAAAATCTGGCCATTTGACTCATGGATTTAGTAAACTTCCTAAAGGTCAAGTCTGAAATGTTTATAACAGCTTCCATTATTTTGTTCAGATTTCAGAAGACTTTTAAACATATTAATTTGATTCAGGTGACATGTTTTCAAGTAGAAGATATAAAAATATTTTTCTCCAGAACTGACACTGCCAGTCTGAAACAAAAGAAAGCAATATTTCAATTGGAAAATAGACTTAATTTTTACATATGCTGGAAAGAATTTCCACTCACATTTTAGTAAAAATGAGAGGATCTCTGTGAGAAGTAAAATAAGACTGTATTATATTGTGTTAAATGGTTTCTAAAGAGGAAAAGTTTTTTTTGTATATTAGGGAAATGGAAGACAAGTCTTATATTCTTAAAAAATGACATTTATAATAAATTTCATTTTAGAAAGAATATATAAGGCTATCAACAACCTGGAAAATGAAATGGAAGTCTACAATACAGCTTAGTTTCTATAAACATAACTAAACCTTAGAAGCAAAAGAGCCGTTTTCCTATTGGAATCATACTGAATTCAGCAGCTTTGTTTTGGTAAAAGAAAATTTAATTTTTTGAAAAACAGAACTAATTTTTTATGTTATACATCTTATATATTAATGTTTCATGCTTTTAAAAAAGATGGGAAACAATAAGTCAAGAATGGCAAAATTTCTAATCTGTCTGAATCATAGGTTTAATATTTCCTTAAAAGGAGTAATATAAAATTTTATGTTACTCTGAGAAATGAGAATTAAGTTATAGTTAATTTATGAATCATCTATGGTAATGAGTCAAAATTACATTTTCTGTTCATTATGTTATAAATGTTTTACTTAATTGTCATGAAAAATTGTGTGCATTTATAAAATCTTTGTTAGTATTAACAATTTATATAAATTAAGAAGATTAATGCAGTTACAAACTGAGGCTACATTAGACATAACTTTTTAAAAAAGTTTAAAATTCAGTCAATATTTAAAAGCTACTCTTGAATATAGTCAAATAACGCAAGCTTTGGCACTATACAGACAAAATTTTGACAATTTTTAATTTTTTCCTTTACACTTATACTTAGGCACATATGTGATTCATATCATTTTCAATAAAACTTGTGAAATACAGTTTAGATCATCACAAATGAGAAGCACATGATGTAGAAGTCACTTTAGTTGATTATTATCATATCTTTATATGTACAACTTTAACAGTGCATCTGCGTTTTTGTATACAGGTTTGTAAGGAAACTCCCAAGATGAATTAGGAAACAAAGTCATTTGAATGAGCACAGCAGATAAATGATATTATATCATTTCAAGGGAGGCCTAAGTTCTCTTGCATATCACCTAGAAGTAAATATGCAACAGATAAAAAGATAAAGTAGCAATTTTGCAAGGATTTGCCATTCCTTTTGCATGCATGTTTTTAAAAATAATTTAATTTAATTTAATTTTGGCTATATGCAATACTTTGGGTTCTTTCATTTTCCTTACCCTCATCCCTTCAAATCGTGATAAGGCTCTTAGAGGTCTCAGAGCTCTTAATGTCCTGAGAGATTTGATGGCACCGAGTTCGGAGTAACCCAAGGCATTCGCTGTTAAACTGACCAGTGAGACCTGCACCAAAAAACAAACAAACAAATAAATGAATAGAATCATTGTCACTCAATCTGTAGTTACTATGGAATACAATAAATACAATTTTTGCTTATAATTATTCAGAAGATGAATGGCTGAATATTTTCAGTAAACTTTTTAAAATTTTAAGGAAATATTTCAGTTTGATACAAAAAAGTGGCTTTCAAGATGTTAATTAAAAGCTAGTTGAATTAAAAAACCTTAAATATTATGTAATTATTAATTTAATTTATTATGAAAGTAATTTATTTAATTTAAAAAACTAAATAGAGCCAGCCCTGATGGTCTGGTGGTTAAAGTTTGGCACTCTCAGTGCTTCGGTGGCCTGGGTTCGGTTCCCAGTCATGGAACCACACCACTCATCTGTCAGCAGCCATGCTGTGGCAGCAGCTCACACAAAATAACTAGTAGGACTTTTAGAACCAGAATATACAACCATGCACTGGCTTTTGGGGAGGGGAAAAAAGGGGGGAAGATTGGCAACAGATGTTTCCTCAGGGCAAATCTTCCTCAGCAAAAAAAAAAAAAGCTAAATAAAAATTAATATTTAAAAGAAAGAAATCCAAGTGTAAGAAAATGTCATTGGTTATCCTTTCTTTATTTTATTAAGTTTCTGCTGAATTTAGGACTTAGCCTCTGGCTAGTAATAAAATTGTATCAGGAAGAAACAAGAAGAGCAAGTCTCTATCCTGTGTTGGTATGTTCAACTGATTATATTTGATGCTAAATCACATGAGTTTTGAAGTTGATTTTTCAAAGGTGATTTTTTTGTTTGTCTTGCTCGTACCTTGTGTTTTTACTTGTCTAAAGTTTACTCCTATGTAAATAATGTAACTTAAAAAGTAATTCAATCATGAAACTCCTTCAAGTTTTTCAATGAATGTACTTCATTTGAATTTAGTAAATAAATCAATGAACTTTCGTCATTTGTATGAAATACACAATGACTAAGAAATAAAAATGTTAGCCATCTAATTCTTTAAACAAAGAATTTACCAAGACTCCTTCTCCAAGCAGAGTTATAACTTCTTGGGTTTGAAAGTGGCTAATATTGGACAGTTCCAAATACATTGGACACTGTTTTTGCAAAATTTTCTATTTTTAAGTGTATTTAGTTTCCTTATATTTAATATACTTTTTACATTATTTGAGACACTCTAATTTCTTTTGCCTTTTTTTAGAGTGAAGCATTGATCCTTATGAAATAATTAAAATAGAACATTGAAAAATAAAAGGACTATTATTGGAAAACTACAAAATTCTTGATAGAATTATTATCCTCAAATATTTCAGAAATGGCTATTAAAAACCAACTTGTAATAACAAGTAAAATTCTTCCACTAAAAAGTTCAGACATATAATAAGCATAATAGGAAAAAGCAAAGCTCAGAGAGTTCCAAAAGGGTTAAATTATATTTAGATTTAAAATCTAGTGTGAGAATTTATGAAGAGTTGAAATATGATATAACTTCCAACGCTTGAAATCTCAATATTAGAAACTTTTTCTCTTTATGATATTATCAAGCAATTATTCTTTTGAGATTTCTCTCAAGTCACTCGTTTCATTGTAATATCATTAAGCTTTGTAAATAGCTCTGGCTTTGCCTTTGTTCAGAATTAAGGAGATATGATGTATGCATGACTCTTAGCTCTAGAAATACTTTCCACAAGAAATCTGCAAAGTTCTCTGGGATTACTAGCTTTGAGGGATAAAGCTGTTGGCTATGAAGTCTGTGATAGTTTGGACACACTTCTATAGCCGAAATGATGCCAAATTGATAACATGAAACATGATTTTTAACAAATTTCGAAGGCAGCCTCTTGTTTGAGGGTGGATGAAGTATTAATCCTTGGGTATACAAATTCTGTGGGCTGTTTGGTACACTATGGCTTGCTGCAATCCTAGGCTACATTCTAGGAACTCCTGTTACTGCATGAAGAAGAGTTGTCCCCTACACTGTGTCCATCTTACTTCCTATACGGGACCTAATCTACGCTTTAAACCTATCCTTTAAAAACTTTGAGTAGATCAGGACAATTTTTAAAAATTGACAGGAGCTCACACCATCGGCACTATTTACTGATTGCCTTTAACATTGTGCAAAATAATATCATCATTTTACAGTCAGGAGCCAGGTAACTTACTCAGTGGCACACGACCAATCACTGGTGGCGCTCGGATTCAAACTTGACTTTGTGCAAGTCACAATATAACTAATTTAAGCAATACAGTCTATTTCACCACTTTCCCGCGAACTGCTGATGTGTTTCTTTTCCAGATTTTTGTCCTAGATAACCACCATAAATCTCATCCCTGCCCCCAGTGCTAAATCAGTACTAAATTAGCCTATTTCTTACCCAAATTCAGTAAATTAGTTTAGTGTCTATTAAGTAGTATATCCTGTCAACACAACATAGCGCCCTGAGATTCACTGTTTTAGAATTAGTATATAGATAAAACAAACTACCTTGAATGGAAGACAAAGATACGGAGGATACTTACATCAACAATTAAGAAGTCCAGCCAACACCAGGCATTGGTGAAATATGTTTGATAGCCATATGCCACCCATTTAAGAAGCATTTCCAGAATGAAAATGTAGGTGAAAACCTTGTCAGCATATTCCAACATTGTCTTAATTGTCTTTCGCTGATCGATATATATATCTTCAAATGCCTATAAAAAAAGTTATACATTTTAGTTTTCTAAAACTATTATACTATATAAGCTATTTTTTCTGAGATATATACATAGTATATATATATATATACATGACATGTCATTGGAATAGGAGGGCAGAGGAACAGTAGCTATTGCTAGGTGTTTTTCCTCTCAAAGGTCTCTTAATGAATCATGGGAAAAGTTATACTCCCCACTGATATTATAGCCAGAAGAAAGAAGTAAAGGTAAAATTCTAATGAATTAATTTGACTTGTTTAGGAAATATTGCTTGATGTCATATCCTGATGCTGCTACCCCAACCTGAAGTTATTTATTCCTTTTGTTTCATTTCTTTTCTTTCTCCTGTTGGCTTTTTTGCCATAGAAAAGAGGCTGAAGAAATAAAAAGTGAAGGCTTATATTTTCGTAAAGCAGAAATCGTAATTGATCATTATATTGACCAATTTTACTACATAGTTGGGTTTATTTGTCCCCTTTTTTCTCCTTCATTTTGTTGACAGTTTGTATTTCTCAGCAGATATGGTGTGACAATGATGGTAAGATAAATTTCTTCTCATTTAGACCAAAATATGTATTCTTCTAATATGAAACTCTCTTGATATTTTATATCTAAGTCTCATGTTCACTTAAATGGTAAAAGATTATTTCTTGTCTAAAATGGCATGTAAAGAAAATTTCTCTCATCAGAAAAATATGCAGGAAAATATAGGCCTGTGTTCAAATTATAAATTTAGGTTAAAAAACTTAAGTGATTGTGTTTCAATCAGGAAAGCCCTATCATCTTTCTCTATCTATCTACCTATCTATCTATCTATCTTCTATCTTATGGCTTAAGTATTCCGTTTGTAAGAGTGTTTTTCTAAAATGCTATCTATATGTTATACTTTATATTTTTGGAAATGATTTTCACATAAATATAAATTGATTCAGATGAAATGAACACCTTCATATAAAGAGAAACCAATCCTTAAATGAATCACTTGGGCATGCTGCCCAGTACTTATTGTTACCAATACTCATTGTTTCCTGAGCAGTATAAGAATAATAAACACAATTCAAAAGGGACAGAGAAGTGGTCCCTAAGGACTTACTGGCTGTCCATAAAGAGATAATAATAATACCATTAGAAACAAAATTCATTAGAACTTAAAGGTTATATACTCCCAATCACAGGACTTCCATTAACTACATTGTAGTTGCCATGTTTATTTTCTTATTAAAATTGAAGTAATTGAATATTTGTATTCTTTGGTTATAATGAATAAACTGGGGGGACAAATTTTCTGTTACTTAATAATAAGCAAAAATTAATAAATAGATCATTAGAAATGTATGTACACACAGTAAAAGTAAATCCAGAAATGCATAGTTATACATTAAGTCTATAGATTGGAAGATATGAAGGAAGATAATTAAAAATGCACTGGATACTAAGACAATAAAACAGAAAGGATTAAAAGGTCATCAGTATTAGATCATTCTAAAACTTGGTACCATAGCGCTTTTGCTTATTATTCACTCACCAGAGCACCACTACTAAGCAGAATCATGAAAACAATGAAGGTCTCAAACCAATTATGTTCAACTATTCGGAAACACGTTCTTCTCAGGTTCCACCATTGTTTTCCTCTCCCTTCTTCCACGCTGATTTGACAGCATTTGAATCTTTGTACACAGCCTGCAAGTACAACATTCAAATAGGAGTTGATAAAAGAACTGCTGCTTCAATAATATCCTTGGCCTGTCCCTGATTCGCCTTCTTATCACTATTGCCATTTGTGTCTTGCTAGGATAACTCTCTAAGCCTAGAGTACTAAGAGCACATTCGTAAGTGGTTCCTCGGCTAATGATATCTGCTTTTTCTGCCTCAAGTGTTATTGTGCAAGAAAGAACTTTGTAAAGTACAAATGAATGTAAAGTAGTTTTGCCTTGTACTATATCATCCTACTGCACTCTGCTCAAGTCACTCTACAAAAGGACTTCAAGACAGAAATTAGGGGCTGGCCCTATGGCTGAGCGGTTAAGTTCACGTGCTCTGCTTCAGCGGCCCAGGGCTTTGTCGGTTGGTATCCTGGGCATGCACCTAGCACGGCTCATCAAGCCATGCTGAGGTGGCATCCCATGTAGCAGAACCAGAAGGACTTACAACTAGAATATACAACTATGTACCGGGCGGACTTTGGGGAGAAGAAGAAGAAGAAAAAAAAGAAGATTGGCAACAGGTGTTAGCTCAGGTGCCAATCTTTAAGAAAAAAAAAGATGGAAATTAATAATAAACAGAAAACTTCCCTTTTAAAGAGGATAAAGGGTAATAATATAGATTTCTCCCAACAATGCTGGGTTTATCACTATTTAGGTTTTCTTTAGATAGTATATTACTATACTATCTAGAAAAGTATATGATTTTCAGAATTAATTTAGTCCACTAGAAAGTGATTTGCATGGCCCTGCTTTGATTTGTTACTGTCTTCCTTACGCTGATTTCACTGACTCTAACATCAGGAGTAAATCAACAGACATCTGTGAGGACCTTTGTAAGCACCATGGAGGATACAAAAAAAAAAAGACAAAAAGGAAAAAAAGGTACGGAACATGGACCTTGCTCCCAAGAACTTTACATTCTGGTTTTCAAGAAAAGATATAAACACAGAACCCTGCCTCAAGGAGGAAAAAAAAAAGTCAAGTGTGCTGGGAGAAAGGAAAGGAAACGGAAGAAGTGAGGAAGGAAGTGAGGAAGGGAGGAAGACAGTAAAAATACATGTAATAGTTCAAAGGAGAAAGAGAAGAGCTCTCATAATATATGATTAGCTATCAGGTAAATTAAATGAATATGTTTATTATAGCTGTTCAGAGGAATAGGAAGCTCTTTTCCACCGTGGTCAGATAAAAGCAGCTTTGAGAGTGACTTTGAGTGATGTATACAACTTACATAGGAGATAATATATAGCAGGCATGAGGAAGAGATCACTAAACATAGAACATGCAAATATATTCATATTTTCAAAATTCAAATTCCCAAGAAAATCAAACCATCAGAAATATTAGTCATGGGGAGAACAAAGGTCTTAGATCTATTGTCCATGTTGTACAAGGCTAAACTAGATAGTGTTCAGGAATCGGGCATTGCTTATTTCCTGTTTCATCCAACAAGCATTGGAAAATGATGATTTTGTTAAAAAACACAGTTTAGCATTTGCAACTCCTCTAATTTTAACAGTTGTAAAGTTATTTTTAAGGCAAATTCTGTGTATGAAAATTTTGACTAGTGTTTAAGACGCCAACTTATTGTGAAATCACCATTTTATTTTAAAAAATATAAATTAGTCAACAGTTTTGATGACATTAAAATATTTTTTCTGCATGCTCATGATCCTTTACACATAATGGGCAGAGATAAGCAAAACATAACAGTAGATTTGAAATCTGTTAGCATGTTAGAGGTAACTGAAATACATCTGCTGCAAAGCTCTACTCTATTACAGGTGATCTGCAATTTAAAAAACTGCACTCTGTCAATGGAAGATTAACATGAAGGTCACGTCAGTTACCTTCAGTGAAACATGCTTCGGGTTCAAGGGTTTCCTCAGGTTCCACTACAGGCTGTTCTTCTGCAGGCGCGCCAATGTCTACAGTGCTGCCTTCAGATGAGCTGCTGCTTTCATTAAGTTTCTGCAGTGAGATGGACATAACACGTCAATCACTTTCATTTGGGTAACTAATAAATAGCTTAGCAAGAACGGGTAAGTACCACGAACTGCTTTTGGATTCTCCTTGAAGTGAAGAGATTTTAAGTTCAGAGCAAAAGAGAGATTGAAAAGGAAGAGGCACTGAGGAAATCATCTTTGTTAACTCCTTTACCATAATTCACAGTCTAAGTGTAAAATCAGATTGCTGTGTTAAGCAGTTACAAATGGCCCTCAGAAACATGTACTATGGAAACCACTGCCCTATCAGTTAGAGAAGCCGCAGAGGGAGGGAAAGTTAGTGCAATTGTTCTCAGTCTAAAGATGATGAAACTAAGGCTCACACAGGCTAAGGAACCTGCCTAACGTCCTATAACCAGTAAGTGAGAAAGCCAAGATTTGAGAGAATTATTGCTGAGTCCAAAGCCCATGCTCTGTCTTCTGGGCAACCATACTGTTTCTGAAACAAAAGAAACAGTGTACTCACTGACTTAGAATTCTTCCATCAACTTAAAAGTGAAAATAATCCATAGAAAAAATATCAAGATGTCTAACGGACGAAGAGAATCTACAATTCAATTTTTTGAAAAACAAAAACAAAGACATCTGTTCACACCACAAACCAATAATGGAAGTTTGTGATACAAATATTCAGTATCTGCGTAGACATTATTTCATCAGCTGCAATAAGCTTCTTTTTGGTAGCTGTAGATAGGATTTCTATCTAATTTTTGTTTACAGCAATTCTGCCAAACTAATTATATATTTGTTATAAAGCAAATGTCATAATAGTAACTTAACTGCAAGCAATAATAAAACCCTTTGGTATAGTATTACTTTAACTCACAGGGAAATTTTTAAAATGTACTAGTTGCAAAGTCTTTAAAAATTTAGAACAAATCCAGCATTTGCTTATTTGTTCTTCACATATAGTGCAAATATCAGGCTCCATATCAAACTTTGTATCCATTACTAAATATCATTATTAGTCACCTAGATTTCAGTTTTCCAATGAGCAACTGTGAGTACTAAGGCAAAAAGATATGAACCTAAAATAACATAAAATTAATTTTATTTTATGCCTAGTGATTGCCTCCCTAAATATCCTCCTCTTATGTGTCTTGCCTGGATGAGGATAAAATAAATTATCTTTTTTCAGTATAAAGTTACTCCAGGTCTTACTGGGTCAGACTTTCTCCAGATGAAAGTACTATTGCCAATATATCCAACTTTAGTCTTAGGAATATTCTTGAAAATTAGCTATTCTTGTTATATAAATAACCTAACTTCATAATATGTTACCAGTTACTAACTATAATTCTAAGTATAGCTCCCCTTTAACGCATACAGCTGGGAGTCAATCGACATTTTGCAAGTTTTAACGTGATATAAAAGATGATTAAATGTCCATTGTTAGTATTCAAATGGAAGATCAGCTCTTGGAAAGTTCCCAGGTATAGACAAGAGATCCTCTAGATGTTTACAAATTAATTTCTAAACATTTCTTAAGCAATATAAATCTATTCCATGGTTTGCCTGAACTACTGTAGGAAAGTAAAAGTGTGCCTAAGGTCACTCAAACTCGATGTGCTCTCAATTAAAGTCACGACCTTTTTTTTTTTCCCCCTATCCTAAACCTACTCTGTTAACCAGATTCCTGATTTGGGTTGTTTGAAACATAATTCTTTCAGCACCCGGACTCAAAATCTTTTTGTTCACTCTTATTCATTTCAAATATTGGCAGTAACCAAAAGTCAAATTTATTTAATTCTACTTTTGAAATATCTCTTCTTTTAGTCTCATCTTCCAAATTCCTACGAACTTTCTGTTCACTCTTGTCACCTCTCCTTTGGAGAGCTATAAATAATAATGATCACCCTCATTCTAGCCTCATGTAATTTAGACCTTTGTGGACCACAAAGCCTGCCTTAGCTTAGTTGCCCAATAAACAGTGAATGAACAAATACCTCTGTTTGAGTTGTTATTACCAAATGAAGCTTTTATCTCCAACTTAGCTTTCCAACCAAATGTCCCAAATTTATTCTCCACAGAAGCTGTGCTTTAGTCAAGGTGAACTTCTTAAAGTTCTCCGGCTTGTGTTCACGGTGGTTATTTTTGCCCATCGTGGTGGAAGGATAAGAATTACTCTCTCATCTAAACTCCATTCACCACTTTACCTGCATGACTCTTTGGGCACATATTGTTTTTTATCTAACCCACCTCCATTCCAACTGACTTACCAAATTAATGATGCTCAGCATTTTCTCTGTAAAACACAATGATTGATGCCCTTCATGTGCTGGAACTGCTCAGGTGGTTGGCTACACTCTATTACACCTGTGCATTCCTGCTTCCACCAGGCGAGTTATGTGCTTACGAAGAGTAAGTTATGTTTGTTTTCAAACCAATTAGCACCATTTTAAATTAATGTAATTATGTAATTACTCTTGCATAATTTGATAAAATGAGTTTGAAAAGAAAGTTAGTTGTATCCATAAAGACTAGGTTGAAATCATTGCATAAACTTAATAAATGCAAATCCCCCACAAATATACTTACACATGAAAAAGACACTTGAAAAATTCAGCATGAATAATTGTAAAAAAAAAAAATGAGTTTGGGGATATAATTTCTGGAAGGATGCTAAATTCAGGTTGTTTCACAAGATTCTTTAAAATCATTGTCTTCTTTGAAAAAATCTAAACTGGAATCATAAATGATCAATTACAGGTATGGCTCATGCTAAAGACAGGATCCAGAACTGCAAACAATGAACCCATGCTAGAACAAGAGGTCTAAAGTGACCTTTTAATGTAAGTATGTGTCATTTTTCAAAATGAAGTAGCTTAATGTTTGGGAGCTGGAAGGAGTTTGAACACCTTTCAGGAACGGGACATGATTACAAATTAGATTTAAAAAAATAGTATTCATATCTGGTTTAAATAACTTCCTAAATCAAGATTTTGCAAAAGAAGGCTGATAAGCCACATCATTGCTCACCCCTTTGATAGACCCTGATTCTCATACTAAGTGAGGGAAACTTGCCCCAACTTTCAAGTCATACTAATATCGGATAAAGTGACAAGTGAATGTTGGAAAGATCAAACCACAGGCAAGTGGAGTCAGGCCAGTTAATCTGCTTTAGATAAACTGTGGTAATCAGAGACAGATGTTAGTGCTTTTCTATAAGTTCACACGTAATGTCAATACATAAGAATTTGTGTGAAAAAGAAAAGTAAAACACATACAGAAGTGACTGAGCTCAAGTGCACCTAGGCAATACGTGGGAGGCCACAAGGGTTTTGATTGACGTGCTAAAGAACATTACTAAATAAATTTAAAATTAATTAAATAAATAATAAATGTATTAAATAAAAAATAGATTAAAATACATAAAAACATTAATAAAGGCGCCAAGACCTTTTCACTCAAAGATAAGATAGTTAACTATTAAAAACAAGAGGGGCCAGCCCCGTGGCCTAGTGGTTAAGTTTGGCACACTCCATTTTGGTGGCCTGGGTTCGGTTCCCAGGTGTGGACCTATGGCACTTGTCAGTGGCCATGCTGTGGTGGGGACCCACATACAAAATAGAGGAAGGTTGGCACAGATGTTAGCTCAAGGCAAATATTCCTCAAGCAAAAAAATTTATAAAAAGTAAAAACAAGAAAGACACCATGATGAAGCTCAAGCATTTAATTCTTATAAGTACTACATAAAAATACTACACGCTTAGTTATTAATGTACTTCAGACCTTAGAGAAGCAATGTTTTTGTAGATGATGAACTGTACAGTTAAATTCTCAGTCAATAATTCTGTAAATGTTCAATATACATCTTGCAATGAAAGATGCGTATCTGTCATTATTGGAGAGGAGAGGTTTCCAACCTATGTCCTGTAGAGATCTAGACTTCAGGACTCTAGAACCTGGCCTCAGGAAGAGAAAAGCAACAAGAACTCAGGGTGGGTGTGGCTACTGGCTGTGCACAGGCTGAGTTATAGGTGCCGGGTCCATGGCTAGTAGAATCCCACAATCATCTCTGGCCAAGGATGGGAGAAGCAAAAGTAATAGCTACTCCCACCTTCGAAATAAAGAAACCATTGCATATAGCTGGGCTTTTAAGTTACTATCTCTACTAGCTCTATGTGCAATATTCATTTAATCACTCAACAGTTATTGGGAAATATTATATTCTGAGATTTGGGTTAAATATCTGTCTTATGGAACCCCTTCATCAACATAACACATTATTTATCCGGGCTTTTTTCTCCTTTTCCTTTGTGGTTTTTTTTTTCTCTTTTTTATTGGCCAAAATGAAAAGTACAAAGTACCTTATGGTTCTTCTAATATTAATTTATTTTATTACAATCAAGGTTAATAATTCTTAAGGTCTGTCTTCCAATTACATTTTTTTCTTCTGTAAATTGTCCCTGTCTTTTGCCTATTTTTCTACCAGAGTGTCAGTGTTATTAGATTGTAATTACTCTTTATTCATGGAAAATCATTTGAGTTTTCTTAACATGAAATATTTATCAAATGTATTAGGTTTCCACTGCTGCATAACAAATTACCACAAACTTAGCAGCTTGAAACAACGCAAATTTATTATCTCATGGTTTCTGTAGGTCAGAAGTCTGGCACTGCATAGCTGGATTCTCTGCTCTGGGTCTCACTGGGATGAAGTCAGGGTGCTGGCTAGAAATGCAGCTCTCATCTGAAGCTCAGGATCTTCTTCTAAGCTTTCTGGTTGTTGGCAGAGTCCATTTCCTTGCAGTTGTAAGACTGAAGTCTCTGCTTTCCTGCTAGCTCATGGCCTTGGACCATTCTCAGTAAGCAGAGGCCAACACAGGTCCTTGCCACATAGCTCCCATATTTTATAACATGGTGTTTGCTTTCTTCTAGCCCAGCTGGAGCATCTCTCTCTCAGTTCGCCTTATGTAACCAGCAGTAGAAAACTCTCTTCTCTTAAAGTGTTCTTCTGATTAA